TTTTTGAAAATGCTCTCCTCAACTATTGCACAGATTCAGTCTAAAATAAGAAAATCAACAGGGCGATAAGAGCTGCCAGTTTAAACTGATGGGCTTAATTTATACTTGTTATGGCATCTAATACATCTTCATCTCTGGCCAACAAGTAGACGCTATCAAGAGATGAGCCCATTTTAAGCAATTATACCCCAGCCAGCACTGATGGGGGTTATGTCGTGGGGCATGAGAATGATGGGTAACTGTCGGTTCAGCTGTCTAGTGAAAAAATGGGATCCACATTGTGATGAAATATGTGTAAAGCAAGCAGAAACTCCATTTTGAAGAGACTGTTTGTTTGTGGATGATAAAAGGGTGATGAGTGAAAAGAAAAGAAAAGAAAAGAAAAGAAAAGAAAAGAAGAAATAGCCTACAGAAGAATGTAGCACATCCAGGACAATGCTACAAATCATGACCAACCTGGTCAAGTAAGCAAATGTCCTCTTTGTTTTTACCACTTAGACTAATACAGTAATACAATTGTTGCATAGGAATGTCATCAACTATTCTCTGATTAAAGGGTTAGTTCACCCAAAAAAAAATATAATAATAATTCACCCTCCTGTAATTACAAACACATAAGACTTTCATTCAATCGTCTTCGGAACACGAATGAAGATTTTTTATGAAATCTGAGCTTTCTGTCCCTCCATAGACAGCTACCCAACTGAAACTTTGATGCTTCAAGTTCATAGAGATCGACAGATCGTAAAACTAAATTAATCCACGTGAATTGAGTGGTTTAGTCCAAAATTTCTGAAAAGACTTGATCGCTTTATATGATGAACAGATTGAACTTAGGCTTTTATTCACACTCGTATTAATCAGAGATAATAGACGCTCAACTGAACCTGCTTGACGCACGATAACAAAGCTCTTGTGGAAGCTCAAACGCGCTGAGTAACACACAAGAATGAACCTCATTGGTTCTCAAAGTTCAAAGCTTCAAAAAGTTCATAGAGATCGTAAAACTAATCCACACGAATTGAGTGGTTTAGTCCAAAATTTCTGAAGAGAATTGATCGCTTTACATAATGAACAGATTGAATTTAGGTTTTTATTCACATAAACATTGATCAGAGAACATAGATGCTCAACCGAACATGCTTGATGCACGATAACAAAACTCTTGTGGAAGCTCAAACCAGAGCCATGTATTCAGAGAGTTATGACAGTCCCGTAGACCGCCATTGTAACTCAGGAATGCGGAAGTAACGCGTGTCATGGACCCGCCCATTAGTTCCAACTACTGATAGTTCCAGCATTGAACCCCATTCATTTTCAGTGCTTCCGATGTCCTCTCGCTGGTAAATTAATGAAATTACTGTAATTTTTACTTTTACACACATTAGCCGACCTCTCGTGAATCTAGTCTGTAGTTATATGTTATGTAGCCAGATCTAGTAAATGTTTATTGGAAGATAATAGGTTAATTGCAGCGATAGCTTACGTGACCAACACTTCACTGTTAGCTAACTTATGGTTACCTGATGTATATAATATTTTTTTCTAACATCATATATATATATATATATATATATATGAAGAGTTCAGATGCAAAAGCCTCTAAGTGCCATTTGAAATTTTCTTCTATGGTCATTTTTGTCAAGCTTGTATATTTAAGTTCAGTGATTTCACTTAAATGGCAATGATAATTACCTATTAATTGTTATTTAAGTGAAATTACTGAACTTAAATATACAAGTTTGATAAAAATCATCATTAAAGAAGAACATTTCAAATGGCATTTAGAGGCTTTTGCATCTGAACTCTTCATATATATAATATTAGATATACAATATATATATATATATATATATATATATATATATATATATATAATATTAGATATACATATACACACACACAATTGATTTATTTAAATGGTTTAGGGTTATGCATGTGTTTGTGTAATGTATATAGGCATACATAATATATATATATATATATATATATATATATATATATATATATATATGTGTGTATTTGTGTGTGTTTTCTGATGAATGGTTTAGTCTATGAATAGGGTAGGATGAAGGGCTACATTAGCCACTGAATTGAATCCCAACAGTTATGGATCATATTTAGGAACAAATATTTTACTCATTAACTCATCATCATCATCATATCTTTATTCAGGACATACATATTAAATGGTCCATAGCACTATACAAAATAAAGTACATTCAAAATAGAAAAGATACCTAACAGTTAAAATTTACCGAACATTACTGTAAATATGGTCATTGCTACGTCATGGGAGCAGTCTATATCCCTCCTAAATCATTCATTTGTACATGCACAGCGTAATTATTTATATTTTACGTTGGTTGTCGTGATTGTTATCCTGAACGGGCCACCGGTCCACAGGTCTTTGCGTGATCACGGTAGGCTAATGGCTGAATCGGAATTTATAAGCAAGATCACGGCAATCAATAACCTACATCCCAGTTGTGCAAAAATAAATATCATGAGACGTCCATCATCAGATGAATGACATGGAAAAGTTAAGTTAGAGCCGCTAAAGCCAGTGCAACTACCAATGCGAACATAAACACAAGCTTTTCCCTCCAAAAATATAGCCTAAAAAACATCTAAGTTGTCACCCTGCCTCTCCAAATGCAACACTGACATTAATCAAACGCAATAAAAGCTTAAAAAGTACTTTGGTGTGCGTTTTATTTTATATTTACCGTTTAATAATGCAATCGCTGCTGTCTGTCCATTGAAGAACATGACAGCCCGCGTCTGTTTTGGAACTATTGGGGCTTCCATGAACCACGTGACAGCCTTGCGGCGACATCAAAGCGTGTCGCAACTCTCTCAATTGACTCTGTGCACGAGAAAAATGCTAACTTCCGCCTTGAGGGGGGATGTTGGGTACTTAGGTTCCGGTTGCCGTTGTTTACATCCTACATCAGTGGACCGGCTATCTAAAGCTTAGCTATCTAAATATATTTGTCTAAAACTATGTTCGTTTGTTCATTGTCAAGTCAACCAACACAGTTTTCACTCATATTTGGGTGGAGCCAGGCGCTGCTGCATTGTGAAAAGTAAACGATATTTCACATTTTGTCACCGCACCCAAGCAGTCGCTTTACAGAGTGGAGCGTTGCGTATCCATGACAACTAGAAGGAAGTTTTTAGGCTACTAATTATTTATTATATTATACCATTTAACCAGGAGAAGCCCCTGGGTTTAGAACCTATTTTGCAAGGGAGACCTGTTTAGAAATATGTGTGAACAGCCTAATATGTGTTAAACAGCCTAACTTGATAACGAACGAACCAACGTCGGATACCTTTACTCCCTGTATGACATGTATAGTGGTTGTCAACACTGATCTATATGACATTCTATATAGATAGTGGTTGTCAACAACATAGCCTCTGAACATCATAAACAAAACAATGGCCAACACAAACTGTTCTGGAAAATGCACTTTCTAACGCATGATTTCGCATTTTATAATGTATAGAGAGATATAACAGTTACCAAATCGCATAGCTTGAGCACGTAGCATGGCAACATTAATGTCCGAGTGATTCCACGTGTACCGCGTATGTACACGCCGTCAAATGTCCGAGCGAAACAAAACAAAATGTAGATCTACATCTGGGGAGCGAAATTTATTTTTTCCTAGGATGGTAGGAGTGACGGGTAGGTTGGGGATGAGGTAGGTCATATGCTATATAACGTTATATATATATATATATATATACACTGTGTGTGTATATATATACACTGTGTGTGTATATATATATATATATATATATACAATAATAACGTTAAGTCAACGGTATTCATAAACACGCTGAAAAGAGATTATGCGTGTTGATAGCATGCCAAAAATACGTGATACGTGTCATACATACGCAATTTCATGAGATCAGTCTGAGCATGGATGTTGTTGTGACTTAACGTTCCCTTCAAAATGATGCAAATACTGAGAAATGTAATATTTAAACCCCTTCTCTCTTGCTCTGGGGAGCTGGAGGAAAATCATTAGCCAGTCGATGAACATAATCGACTGTAATATTCGCCAAATGTTCAAGACATCTGGAGAAACATACATCCTCTACGTCGTCCATCAGGCTACCGGAAACTAGACACCCCATATCGGTTTCGCAGCCGGAACTAGCATATGCTAACGTGTATAGTCCATACATGGCTCTGGCTCAAACACGCTGCGTAACACACAAGAATGAACCTCATTGGTTCTCGCACGTCAAGCAAACATGCGTAAGCTTCTGTTGGTTTGCAACAAAGTCAATATTTTATTTGCATAGCTGTCTGAGGGACAGAAAGCTCTCAGATTTCATCAAAAAAGATCTTCATGTGTTCCGGATTTGGAATGACATGAGGTGAGTAATGATCATTTTTGTGTGAACTCACCTTTAGAAGCTAAATGTCTTCAGAGGGATTTTCATTATGTATTTAACTATTCTAAAGAGAATCAATATGGAAATTCTGATCATAAACTTCTCAGAATTAATGAAGTAGACAGGATAATTCTTCCTTTAATAATATGACTGATGCTAAAATTATATATCACACGTACGTCATTAAATCACATGTGACCTGTGACTGCAGCTTCATTTTCAAAACAAGTCTCATTCGCATGCGGTTTTTAAGTCAGAGAGTAGGACATTCAACCAGTCACAAATACATTAAAACAGGCACTAAACCATTAACACAGATTTGTAGAAGCAAACGATTTCAGAACGAAACGTTAGCCTTTATCACAACGAATCCTTTACAATGATTAGCCCTAACGTTAGCTAGTGCTAACGTTACATGAGCAAACATCCCACCTTGAAAAAAAACGAATTATTAGGAGATGGCACAAGTGTCCTGTCTAGTTTAACGTTAAATAAATAAAAAAATAAATAAATAAATAACAACTTCAAGTCACTAAATAAAATTGTTCAAAACAAGAAAAACAAATCAACCATGAACTTACCACGGAATTTCTCATGGTGGACTTCACCGTAAATCCCTCCGTTTGCATGTTTGTACACATTCATAAAGGATTAACGTTAAACCGCACGGAGAACGCCAGCGTCTGTTTGGGTTGCCAAGGACTCACTAGAGGACGCGCTGTGGTTGCTATGGAGGGTTTAAAAAAAACCCGGATGTTCATCTTGCTATGGAAACACAACATCTGCACCACAGTCTATGATCTGCACAACACGCACTCCGTTGTCGTTTATCAAACGTCGTCATTTAGAAATAAAATGGAAATAATAGGAAATTATAGTGTAGCAAAATGATAATCAATACCGGAAAGTGTGATTATGTTCCAGTGATATATGTGCGTGCTGCATAAGGTATAGATTTTCTCAGCACATCTATCTTTTATTCAGTCTAATAAGATTTTTGTTTTTCCAATAATTATTTTAGGGTTTTGGTTTGGCTCTCCTTTGTATTATTAAAAGTAAACATGTGAGACCAGTAGTAAGTAACATCCAGGATCATTTTTAAAGGTCTAATACAGGCTATAATTACATTCTGCAGTGGTTCTCAACTGACGGTTTTGCCATTAAATTTAAATATAAAATGCAGTCATCCGTTTTGAAATGTACTTTATAGTTCTTTAAGTAGAAAATATAATCTACAGTAAATATAATTGTATGTTATGTTCTTTTTTTTTAATTATATTGAAAAAAATAAACTGCATTTCGTACACTACATACAGCAGAAAGCCTTAAAAGTCTGGAAACTTCTTTTCTTTTCTTTTCTTTTTTTAATAGCCTAACTAAATTACAGCATTTAAATATTTTTTTTTTTTTAAATGTCACCAAATTCTTTACAGACATATATTTTTATTGACAACTCCCACTGAGGTTGAGAACCACTGTTGTAGTTTGCCTTGGGGCCTGCACCTCCCTCAATCACAGTGCCTGAAGGAAAGATTCCCCGTTGCCCTGTTTGATGATGGCACCGTGTCCATCCTGCATCATGTGCTTAAGCACTGATGCTGTATCCTCAGGTTTACTAGCACGTTGTCTGCTAAATCTAGAGAGAATTCCACTGTACTAAATCATTCCACTATAAGAGTTTGGCACTTTTAATCTCTGGTGTGTCTTTGCCTCTGGACTCTTCGCAACAGTAGGCTACAGTAATTAATCTTCAGTGTGGTGTGCAAGCAGTTTCTCTGAAAACTCCTATTTGGTTTTATGACTCCACCGAGGAAAGAAATGTCGTGTGTGTGTGTGTGTGTGTGTTTGAGGAGACGATTTTGCAATGCTATTCTCTTATAGCCATTTGTGATCATTTTAATGCATCAAAAATCTTTTACAACACAATAACGTTAAGAGTCCCTAGTAACCAAATCAACTAGCCATGGTTTTTACATTATCTACCATCTTGTTTTGCCTCTCCAATCAAAACGACACATAGTGGACAGTTTCACATATTTTTACTGTTATCATGGTGTTTTTCCATATGACATCGCTAAAAGAATTGCCCCCAGACACAAACCATTAGATGCTGAGTGTGTGGGCCTCATTTATGCCATTCTCGGCACTAATGATGTGTATGAGTGAGCCCCATTTTGATGTGCCAAGACTGAGTCCCACTGCTTCCGCCGCACACACATGATATGTAATGAGTAAACAGCCGACCTTCATCTTCATCATCACGGCCTCCGCACGCGTTTGATGCGTGTCTCATTTGGCCGCTTCTCTCGGGGCTGATGCAGCATCCCACTGACATAGGCAGCAATTAGACAGCGATCACCAGAAAGTTTGGTGCTGCAGGCCATTAACAGAGGAAAATGCACGCCTCAGACTAACAGAAGCTGGAGCTGGGCTGGACACAGAGAAAACAACCGACAGGACTCGTCGGATATGCCAATCAGCATCCCCCAAACGACCCATTAGGGCTGCGGGTTTGAGTTTCTCTGCCGGACAGCCGCAGATACGACACATAAGCATCTTGACTGTCAGGAAGTGAAACTGTGCAACTGTAATGAAGAGAAAACGGAATGGTGAACAATGCATCTGAAAGCACATTTTTGTACAGGATCACGAAAATTCATCAGCACAAGAGTTTACTTCAGATTCACAGAGCACGTAGCAATATTCCCTCAAACTCGGTTTCATTGTTTACTTGTCTTTTCCGTTCCACCACTTGCATTTGCTGTTTTGTGAGAGTATGCTAATAATTCAGAAGCTCAAAAGCATTATATACAGTCACCTTACGCATCATATTCCAGTGAATATCTGCACTAGTGCAAGATCAAATACCACAGAGTTAAGAGTAAATATATGTGTACACACATATACACTACACACACCACCTTTGGAGAGTTTGGAAAGTCTCTTATCCTCACTAAGATTACTAACACCTTGCACCAGCACAAACCCTCTTTTGGGCGAAAAACTACTGTCAAGATTTACTAAAGACACTCTGAAATGTGCTGAAAAAGCGGGGATGGGTTGATTTTTTCTGTTGACCTTATTGCATGTTCATTTATAGTAGTTTCCCTTTCAAATGCAAAATTTAAGGGAGGAGATTATTTACATGAATCACACAAGGTGATTTACTAAGGTGTTGGCCCCTAAATTTATATTTCTCAGCAAATAGCCCCTAACTTGGCACAGAATCCTAAATTATAAAAGCTGTTTTAAGTCTTCCTTTAAAGGCTGTGGAAAACAACACACTCTTAGATAATATTCCAAAGATCAGATCCAGCAATGAATACCCTGCAGGGACATATTAAGGCCTTGTAATTTGTTTTGTTTTCTGTTGTCATCCATGGTTGGCCTGTTTTATATTTTAAAATCCAAATTCAGATCTCTGATCCGACTGACTTTCCCTTTTGACAATTTTTTTTCTTTTGCCTGAGAATTATTAACTGAGCTTAGTTTAAATGTCATAGAATAAAACACCAATTTAGTCAGGATTTTTAATCAGATGGGGCTGCTTTTTTAGTGAATCCCACTGGTTTAAACAGCACATGAAATCTATTATTTTAGTCTTTGCAATTTCATTATTTTATTGCCTTTTTCTATATCAAGTCAACATCAAATACTATTTGAGACTCATTTTTCTTTCATAATGTAATGAATGAAAGAAACAGGTTGGATAGGAACTTATGTTCTCCATCTGGAATTAATTAGGTGGTGAAATGTGTTGCATTACAGAATTTGCCAAAAATGACTAACCAGCTATCTGGCTATTGATTTACAGCATCCAAATTCCTGGTATAAGTGATTCCAGCAACAACAAAAAAAAGTTGTTTTTGTGATGTACATTTTAATGAAGATTTAAAAAAAAAAGTAAATGGTGTAATTTCAATATTGTAAATGGTGATTCGTATTGACTTTAAAGAGTGATATTACCTGGTGAATCTCATTCTCTGACAGTTTGAGATCTTCTGTGGGGTCTTATTTCATTAATCTCCATGGTGACTGGCACATGTTTTCTCCAGGTTAATCTTCAGAAGATCAAATGGGCCTGCACACACATATTATATTCCCTTGCGTGACACCTGCAAGTTCAATAGCAACAGACTGGACTTTATACACTTCAGTAGTATCTGCGTTTACTCTCCTAGAACACTGAACATTGCTGTTGTGAAAACCCACACATATTTTCAAAACAACTGGCTTTAAATTAAGACAAAAATGTGATGCAAATCTTTCAGACACTTACATGTACAGTAAGTTTCACCATTAGAATAATGTCTCTCTCTCTCTCCCTCCATGCTGTCTTTTTCTCTTCCCTTTCTCTCCGCCTCTGCAGTCTGAGCAGATGGCGTTTAAGTAAAATATTATTAACACCTCCTTACAATCACACACAGCAGCAGACTCTCTTTGCCCAGCGCACAGGTGAGAATGATTAACAATGAAATCAAAGACTTACACAAGTTGAGGCTGCTCATATTTTTAGCGTAAACAACAGTTTCCTTTCGATATGGTTCACTCGTATCGCGAGTGACAATCAAATGAGGTTACTCGCTATATTTCAATTGCAGGTCCCCCTTCTTCAGGGATGTGTACCTTGGTTTAGAGCAGCGTGGCTTACGTTCTTCACACCGAGGCATCTAAATCGCACCCTTATGAAACAGACGTTCAAGATGTTAACAATGAAATGGATCTTCTCGCAGGTGTTCCAGGGGATTTTTTTTTTCATATCCAAATAGCCCCCCATCACAGACCGTTCTTGAGATCCGCATTCGAGGGGGTGGCTTACCAATGTATGGTCCTCCATTCGGACTGTTTCACGAAGTGCATGGATGTGCTGAATGTTCTCTATGACTGGCTCATACTGGCCCAGTCGGAGACCGAGCTGGACGCTCACAGATCCTTGGTCCTCAGCCATTTGAAATTCCTGGGACACAGGATCAACATTGCCAAGAGCTCACTGTCTTCCAGCAAATGGATCTCGTTCCTGGGAGTAGTCCTCGATTCAGCCCAAATACGGGCCCATGCTCACACCAGAGCAAGTCTTTAAACAGCTTACGGCGTCTTTCAGGGTCGGGGTCTCAACGTTTCAGAGGATACTGGGCCTCATGGTCTCTGCGTCACCAGTACTTAATCTGGTTCTGCTTCACATGCTGCCCCATACAGTACTGGTTGAAACCCCAAGTTTCATCACATCCACATAAGATTGGATCACGGCTACATCATGGTTCTGACCCCTTGGAAGTACCCTCATTGGTTCCAATCCGGCGTGGATCTGGTAGTGGCCTCCAGAAGGAAAGTGGTCTTGACAAATGCTTCCAACACCGTTTGGGGAGCTCTGTTCGAGGGCAGGCTGACTTCCGCCTCCTGGTCAAGCATGGAAAAAAAGGCTTAATATCGACTGCCTGGAAATGCTGGCAGTCTTTCTGGCCCTCAGAACCTTCCTGCCAGATCTGAAAGAGCCCCATCCACAAGATGCCTCTACACCCTTAAATGGTCTGTTTTCTACAGCTGGTGCGCAGTTAAGAGTGAATACCCGGCATCCTAATAAGAAATGTTTCATAATAAAAAAATGTTTATTGAGCACCAAATCAGCATATTAGAATGATTACTGAAGACTGGAGTAATGGCTGCTTTTCCATCACAGGAAGAAATTGCATTTTAAAATATATTAAAAATAGAAAACAGTT